ACATTTGATTATCATTTTATATATAATCAAGATTATTTTACAAAAATTTTGATTAAATTGGATAAGTCAATTAAAAGTTATTAAAAAAAATAATTTACTGGAGAATTCAATATTCACCGCGTTATAATAGGGCATAATGACGTCAGCCGGTAATAAACGGTTAACCGGTTAACCGATCGGTTAACCGGTTAAGGTTAAAGTCAAAGATTTTTTTGACCGATCGGTTAACGGTCAAGCCATTCTTTGACCGGTTAACCGTTTGGACAACACTATATTGAACGATGAGTTTTTGGTTAACAAATAGGCGCTAAAAATATCTACAGTCAACTCTCGGTTTAATGGCAGTAAAAAGTAACAAAAATCCTATACAATCAATGCAATCGTGCTTTTATTACTGCATTCAATTGACACCCAATACCAGTGTTTGTCTGTATTTCTCAAAACTATTTCCAATCACGAGTTTGTGCTTCAAATGCAAAGCTTTTTCATTGCGAGTGAAAGCGAGTGAGAGATCGGTTGGCAATCATTGGACCACACATTCAATCAATCACTCACTCAATCATTCAATCAATCATTTAATGTAAGTATTAATTGTTTTTTAAATTTTACTTTTCATTAAATTTAACGTTATATTCAATTCAATAACTGTTAACACATTTACTCTAAAAGTAATTTTATATGAAATGCAGTGAAAGAGATGTCAAAACCGACTCAAAGAGATTCGTGCCGACAGTCGCCGCCCTCGACGGCCACTCCCGGCGCCACAGCCCGCGAGACGACACCACAGCGAGCGTCGATGAACTGCGCCCATGTATTGAACGTGTGGTCCACACCACCGATGGTCAGCTCAATGGCGAGACCATCGCAGGAGACAACTGTGGCTGAGTTGCGCCAACACGTCCGCCACTTGGAGGCGGCCAATCAGAAGCTGTCGGCCTCGGAGGCCAACTACGCGCTCAAGACTCGCGAGTTGAGCGCTCAGGTGTCGGCGCTCACCACCGAGAGAGACGATATCTTCAAATACTGGGCCAAAGACAGCGCACAACTTCACCAACAGATCCAGGCGTTAACGGCCGCGAAGGACGCGGACCAGAAGGCTAGGGATGAGCTCCAGAATAGATACGAGACATCGATCGCGAATAACACTGACCTGAAGGAGAAGTACGTGCTCTCTATGCAGGCGGCGGCCGATTGTAACAACCATTGGGGACGAGAGTTGAAAGACAGGTCCCTAAAGGCGGACCAAAAGTTGGCCGAAAGTCGCAAACTTGTGGCTAAACTCGAGTCAAAAGTTGAGAAACAGAACAAATTGTTTGCCAAAAAATTCAATGCACTCCAGAAGAGAAGCCAAAACTTGCAGAATCAGGTGTTGATAACTGTAAGTATTGATTGTTTAGTTGCCATCACTTCATAATTAGACTAATGTGTTGTCCGCCCGACAGAACCGCAAACTTCTAAGAGAGAAATATAGACAAAGGAAAGTGAAAGAAGTGCACAAATGGACGACCAATGGTGTGGCGGACGCCGTCGAAGCCAAAGGCCAACGAGCGTTGGCTGAGATAAAGCGGACACTACTGGAAGTGATTGATAGCAATCAGAAACAGTTAGCCGAAGACAAAACGGCCGCCGCGGCCGAAGGGATTCGACAATTGTCGACACGGGAAGAGACCATTGACAGCGCCGCCGACCGCATCAGCACAGAGTTGGAGCAAAACAGTATGACTTATACGTGTAATTAATGGTGACTTTTTATTGATTGTTTAATTTTGTGCCCAACAGTGAAGTGTCCGGATTGCGATAAGCAGTACGTGGGCATTGTTTCTTTTTGGAAACACATTGAGACCATACACTTGTCCACTAAAGATGCCGCCAATGATGTGCCGATGGACACCACCAACGCCTCCAACTCCTCATCGCTTGCGTCCAACTCTTTCCGGTCGACAGACCGCCCGATGACTCGCTCGCGAACCGCTAATTGTTCGCTCAACTCATCCATCGGCGGCTCCACCGGCGGTGATGTCAGCAATGATACGGAATAACCAATTATTGATTGCATTTTTGCTTATTTTTTTGCAAATCATTAATATTTTGCAAACATTTTATTGGATTATTAGATATTTCTTTTGATTAGATTTAATTATTGTTTTCAACTTTCATTTTTTATTTGGTTTTTTTTAACACAAACGAATTGATTGTATTGTTTTTTATTGAATATTATTTTAAAACTACTATTAGAAAATGTAAATCAATGTCTTCCAAAACAATTGTAATTATTAATTGACAAAATAAATGCTAAATCTGATATAATCATCAATAAAAATATTAACAATTAACACACCATTGAATTACTTGACATTCTGTTTGACATAAACTAAAATATAAGCATTGGATGACTGAAGTCGTCTCACATCCATCTGATCCACAAATGAATCGTTAATTTCATACCAATTATTGTTGAGACAACTCTTGGCGTAAGCGGTATAGTGTCCGCTATTAGAGGAACCACTATAGTTAGAGACGGCCACCAAATCGTAGACATACTGTCCATCATATGAGCGGCCATTTGTCACATAACTCTTCAGATCCAATACGAGAGGAAACTGACAGTTATATCGCTGTCTGGGGTTTGACTTTAACTGCAATAGCAATACATTAGGCGCGTGTAGTATAGCGTACGACAGGCTTGAAAATGTGTCGACGGTTTGACCGCCCGTTAGTTTACGTGTCCGACAATCGGCACATTTATCGTCACTTTTCTGGTAAGACAGGTATTGATTGATACAATCATACAGTGTTACGACCGTTGGGATCCTGTATGAGGATTGCGGACTACTTGACTGATTGGTATTAACTACTTGGTAAAAGTTGAGACACAACTGTATCAACTCATTGTCCATATCGGTGGCCAGAAATGAGGCCATAGTATTAGGTAATTCTTGGGACCAATTCTCAATCAAATACTCGCCGTCACAATAGAGAAATTGTAAATTTGTCAAATCGGGGTTACTTTGAATGTTTGGCAAATTATTAACAATCAGTGCAACAAATGTGGACTCAATTGTTGAATATTGGCTGTCATTTACATTCAACAGCAATGGTGTGCCAAAAGTAATCCCACGATTGTCACGAAATGACACGAAATAGTGTCTCGTAAACGACGGATCAATTTCATAGACATAGATATCTCCACCGCTCCAGAACTCTAGGTTTTCATTGATGCTAAAAATTTTACTTATTTTGTGATTAATTACTTTACAAACGATGAGTTGATTGTCGATCAAAGAGTTTTTGGTGATTTCATAGTAGGTTTTTGTCAATGTTTTAATCAATTGACTGATAAGAATCTCTCTCTTTGTGAATCTCAACCGCATTTTCTCCACTCTTTGACTATTATGTCTAATTAGTGACACTTCCCTCACAACCACATCATTGCAATCAATTTGTGGTAAACTAATGATAGAAAACGGCGGATAATTTGTGGCAATAGTTTGGCCGCAATCGCACTCAACGTTCAGTCGGAGGAAGCCGTGAAAATTACGGGAAATAAAAGTGTTATTAAATTTTAAATAATCGTCAAAATTGTTGTATTCAATGGCATTCTCGTGCGACTGATATCCGTATTGATTCATTTCAAGCAATTCATTGTGAAACTGATCCAGAATTGTGACCACAAATTGGAAGCAATCGTTTTGTTCATTATTACTGAATATATCGAAAGTTTTGGCCACTTTTCGCCGAAAATTAATCGGCGAAACGGATTGAGACTTCGAAGACAACATCTCTTCCATGAGTTCAGCCATTAATTCAGTCAATGATTTTTGTTGTGATGTTTGCTTAAAACCCACCAAAAAAATCTTCAAGTCTTGAGTCATAAACTCATTGAAAAGTGCGATATTAACGAGACATTGAAGACCGCTATTCATATAACATGTGTTCCCGAGGTTTCGGAGACCACAGACGCCCTTCACTACATTATATGGGCGAAGATCTGGGATTACAATTGGGTCTAAAATAAAGTTAATTGTTATTAATTAAATCTTATTCGCCATCGTATCAAACTTACCGCCGGATTCATACGATTTATTGCCATTTTTGCCTCTTTTGTTAGAGTTTTTGTTTTTATTTCTCTTGTTTTGTTGGATAAACTTTGCAGATATTTCTCTGTAAAAAAAATTAATGATTAAAATATTTGTAAATTTTATACTAATATTGAAAACACCAACTTTGAAGGCAACGTCAACTTAACATCGCTGTCCGATTCGGGAACCACTGGTCCGGGCATTGGTTGAGACTCTATTGCTTTAACACCCGATGAGAACGAAATAGGGTTCTCGTAATCGATATCAACTTTCGTTAACTCTTTAAATATAATATTCATATAATTTATCAAAAATAAATAATGATTTACTCAATACCGTATCCATTGGATAGTTTACGCCGTTTGGCACTTCTATTGTCTTTGGCATCCATTTGGTGGTCAGTCATCTGCTCCTGAGGTCTAATACAGGAACACATTTGACGGAAAGTATAATACGCTCTGAAATAATCACAATTATTCATTAAAATATACTATAGTTAAAAGTGATTTACCTTCTTATTAGGTCTCGTAAATGACTACATGAAGACGTGTTGTCAGATTGTATGGAATTGAGTAAATTTTCCTAACGTTTCAAAGATGTGAATTAAAATGAATTCATTTTTAACATAAAACAAATGAAAACAAATTTGGGCCAAAGTTTAGCGACTAAACATACCCTTTGAGATTGTGATGTGTTGTCGCCTCTGAAACCAGTGTTTGCTTTTAGTAAGAAAAAATAATTATAAATTTATTATTAAAATTTATACACAATTATCATACTATTCATTAAAAAAGTTTCAGTGATGTTTTTCAATGTCAGACAAATATATAATGAATTAATAAGGTATTGATTATAATATGTCTCTAATTCATTGAATTCATGACATCTGACATTAGGCGAGAATCCGTTGGACTTAATGTCTGGTATATTCTGGTGAATGAGTGTTATTTGCGGCGATATTTTAAAACTTAATTGTCTAATGAATGCAATCAAACGCCAATCGCCAGTAATCGCTATAAACGCTGTTTTGTTGTCACTTAAGGTCTCAGTTGTGAACGATTTAAAGAAATCTAATTTAGGTTTTTTGAATGAAGTGGTGATTGAATGACCCGATAGTTGAGATTTGTACTCAATAGGTCCGGATTGCCAGCAAATAAAGTGCTTTTTAATGTACTGTTTAGTGCCGACAATAAATTCACAAAATACACTGACGTTCGTGAGGGCACAGGTATCCAAATCCCAGTATATGGACACATAAGATGAGTTCATCCTTATTATCGCACCATTCAATCACAGCTTTCATTGCATTTCAAACTAAATGAAGTACAGTATCAGTAAATTAGTAGAAATAATAAATTAGTAGTTTTTCAAACATATCGCTCTAAATTTATTTATGGGTTTAAAAGTACAAAATTATTTTTTGTTTAAATGTTTCTATTTGTTATCGTAATCGTTATTCAATGAAATAAAATTTTCAAAACATAATCTGATTTACAATTATTTATACAAATTTTTAAACAACAGAAAAAAGATTATCTCAAATGATTCGCGTAAAGTCGGGTCCACTCGCGGGCCTTCTCTTCGTACTGATGACTACTGAGTTCGCGGCCGTTGTAAGCGCTGTCCCGATTGGGTGCGCACAACATATTATTAATGGCCAACAATATTGTCAGCACAGTATCGGTCGGCCGCCAATCGGACAGTAATGTCGTGCAAACGCCTCCACTGGAGCTAATGTTTGCGTGAAATATCTGTGTTTTAAACTTAATCTGCGGATAACGGGTGGGGTATGTGTCGGGAAAGACTAACTCCAATTCAAACACTCCGCCCTCATATGGTGTGCCTTCCGGTCCGTTCAACAGTACTTTCCATACCAGGAGGTTATCGGTCGGCGCCACTGACCCGAAGGGCACCGGACGTAACATAAACTCCCTGTACTCTCGCCTAAGCCTTTCCGATGCCATCATTACCTCTGCATTACATTCACAGCTTTTTTAGTGATCATTGAATATTTTTAAAGAGTTATTTTGCATTAATATTCAAAAATGTTTGAAATGATATCCAAACTTAGTTTTGATTAAAAACTTTATTTCATTGAAAATTATTATGATTATTAAGTGATATAAGTAAAAATCCTTATATGTTATACAACTTGTGAGATAATAGAAGGCTATAATAAGAGTTTAGCAAGGTTACTAATCTGGCCATACACTATTTGTCTAATTTACTATTACATACTATTACTGTATTTAAATCGGAAGTACCGTAGTTTTAGCCCTGATACCTCCCAAACCAGATCGATCTCATAATACTGTATAGTAATTAACAATATTTATACGAATGTTAATTTCGAAAACTATTAATACTTACAATAAATTAATGGTTGAACGCGTTTCTCAAAAGTTGTCATCCAATCTCTCACTCACTTTCACTCCAAATGAAGAGGTTTTGCATTTGAATCGCAGAACTCTTGATAACTGACAACAAATATTAATTTCAAAATTGTTTGAAATGCAAAAAGTTATGATTGAAATCAATTTTGTTAAATACAATCAAACCCAGGTATTGAGTGTCTACGGTATTTTTGCTGTTATATTACTTACTAAAAATTGAAGGATTAATTATTATGTTGTAGTCTATTGGTTATGGCTTTATTATTTGCCCAAGAAATGACCCAACATTACCATCATATATGACAATATCATTTAAATGACAAAATTAAAAAGAATTTTATGTTACTATGAATTGAATGTACGGATGTTTTTGTTAATTATGATCACTAACTAGTGATTCATTCTCATTGGTTATCAAATTACATAAATTATAAAACTATTTACATAATAAGATTGGACTTGAAACTTTAAAGTTCTGATTACACCATGCATGTCTTAGTTAACATTACATTAAACATCGTTTATTTCATTTTTCAGTTTAAATAACATTTGATTTGAAACCAATGATTTCACACTTGTTTTCAAGAAATTAAAAATTTATAAAATTGTTTTGCAAAATAAAGTGATTCATTCAAACATTCATTTGTATCGCATTTTATATCAATGTTTTATTTCACAAGTTTTGCATAACTTATTAGTTACTAACTATATTACGAATAGACTTCAATGTAACCACTTTACAAATTTAACACTCATATAAATACTTTTTAATCAAATATCTCCTAAATTAGACAATTATCGCATCGATGGCTAACGTGACGGCAGAGGAGCAGGAGATCTACGCCAATCTCTATCGCGACGATCTCTTCGCGGACAAGGTTTCCGATGAATTCCTGTGCGGTATATGTTTGGCAATCCTAAGAGATCCGCAACTATTACCGTGTGATCACATGTTTTGCAAACAGTGTGTCACCACTTATTTCCGGTCCACTCCGGTGTCCAACTGCTGCCCGATTTGCAGATCGCGGACCACTGCCGCTGACGTACGGCCGGCGCCGCGGTTTGTCCGCAACACTATCGGCAAACTTATAGCCCGTTGTTTCAATCATAGCGAGGGCTGTACCGCTCGCATGCCATTGGATCAGTTGGACAAACACGCGGCCACCTGTCGGTACAGGCCGTGCGCTTCGAGTGGTGGGAGTCAACGATCGTCAGGCGTTGGCCCGACCGGCACTCCGCTGGTTATACGCGTCCAATTGGCCGATAGGGCAAAGACAGTGACCCTCAACGCCACCGCCGAAGACACTGTCCTAATGCTTAAGCGCCAGATAGAGGACAGGGAAGGCATTGATCCCAAAACCCTTATTTTAACGTTCGGTACGAAAACATTGAATGACACGAAACGTCTCAAGGATTATGGTATCGGTAATAATAGTTTGATATTCAGCACAAGACGTTTTGATGGCGGAGTCTTTGTATTGTTTTTCATTTATTAAATTTATACTTTTTATCATTTAATTATCTTTTATGCTAGTTGTAACTCTTTCCCTAATAAATCATAATTTAAATTTTTAAAAAAGTGTTGAGACTAATGTTAAGTCTATGGGAAATTGAATTTTATTTTGAATGCACTATTGATTGTACAATGAATTAGTGTTATACTGTATTTAATGTGATAATTGAAAATAAAATCTGATAATTTTTTATTGTGTTTAAACTAAAAATAGTGTTTATGTTTTCAACAATAAATAGAGTCATGAGAATGCAATAATTAATTAATTAAATAATTCAATTTAAATAATTAGAGCTTAGGTTTAATTTTGATTTTAATTATAAATTCAACTGAATTTGTGTCCAATTTATAACTTTTTGAGACAATTGTTTATAAAAAGAGATTGTATTAAAAGATGTCTTTATTGATAAAACGTCTTTTAATTGTAGGCATTATTATCTCAATTCATAATACGATTGTATTATCGGTTAAAATTCGTGAACCAATTGCCGGACGTTTTGATACAAATCTGATCGCAAACGGAGGGACTGTTGAAACCGATGAAGACATCATTGAACCAAAGAATAGGATAGTAAGACAGGCGCCACACGTGGGTTCAGCGCCCTCGAGCTCTCCCAGTCCTGGGGTTAACAGTAGTCCAAGTGGTGGTCAGACGACGGCTACAACCCCTGTAACGAGTGGTCAAAACCAAAGCACGGCATTCAATACCACAATAGGAAGTGTTACTAACGAAACGACAGTCGCAGACACCGGAGCCGGTGTTGGAAGTGCTGGCAATGGATCCGTAACACAGAATTCAACGGCTGAGACCCAGACTGTGACCGAACCGACGGCAGACCCAAACCAATTGACAACCAAACCATCGCCAGTACCGACCGCTCAGTCGACCGATGGTCCGTCCGTTTGGCCCGTATTTGTCATCGCTTTAGTATTTCTGTGTTGTGTTATCTTTGGTCTCATTTGGTATGAAGTCTTTGAACACATACTTTGTTAACTAATTATTGCTTTTATAACTTTTTTATTCAATTGTCGAAAGGGTTTTGAAAAGTTTTTGCGACATTAATGCCAACGAAAAGTTAGAAGAGTCTAAAATCAATGGTAAGACATAAGACATTAACTAATAAACTATTGATAAGTGTTTGAAAACTATTGTTTTACACAAAATAGAGGCCATAATAAGGGCCGGTAATAGCGGTACAGATATGAACGAAAAGGGTTCGACCGGTGATCACAAGAAGCCGCCCAAAGAGGACAAGGAGTTGACCACCACTACAACAGAAGAGGCCGACAAAACCGATGCCTCGAAGGACTCGTTGGGAAGAGTAAGACATTTAAAATCACCCAAAAGTCCGGCCAAACAATCGGCGCCCGACAAGAGTCCCGTCTCGGGTCAGGACAGCAGTAGTGCCGCTCCGGCTAAAAAAGGGTCCTCAAAGTCAGGCTCTAAAACCGGTTAAGCAATTGATGTAACAATAGTTTTGGACTTTTTATCACAAAATTAACATTTGATTTATATATTGTTTGCAAGTCTTTTGTTTTATTAATTATATTTTTATTAAATTTTCTTTTATTTGTAAAAATCTTAGTTTTAGTTTAAATAAAATAAATACAAATCTTTAATTAAAAACTTCGGATTTAATAATTTATTTGTAAAACATATCAACTTTTAGTTTGATTAAAATGATTAAAATTAAATTAAATATTTTGAAATTGGTTAATTATTAAAACAAGTCGTATATTAAATGTATAATAAATTGAGTTTTTATTTTTAATAAATTGCAATATATTTGAAATTTAAAGTTTGAATACAATTTGCTGAACACGTGATATATAGTGAATAATGTGAATAAATGATCAATTTTTAGCAATTATGCGCTAAACAGTCAACAAATATATGAATATACAGTCAAATTACAGTCAAATTATGGTTTAATGACATTAATAAATCTCAAAACGATTGCAACAATTAATACAATTTTGGTATTTATTACTTCTATCATTTGATAACAATACCAGTGTTTGTCTGTATTTAACAAAACTATTTTCAATCACGAGTTTTGTGTTTTAAATGCAATGCCTTTTCATTGCGAGTGAAAGTGAAGCGAGAGTTTGCATCAAATTATTGAAACACACATTCAATCACTCAATCAATCATTTAACGTAAGTTTTAATTGTTTTTAATTGTATTTTTTAAATTAAACTTTTAATACAATTAGTTTTACTTTTTTCACATAAATATATAAAAGTCATAAACATTTTCAATGAAATAAAGTTTTTCTTAAATAAATAAATTTATTAAATGTTTTGAAATGTTACCAAAATTTTTGTTTACCATTACTTACCATAAGATATGAATTTTAAAACAATAATCACTAAAAGAGCTGTAAATGTAATGCAGAGGTAATGATGGCATCGGAGAGACTTCTGCGAGAGTACAGGGAGTTTATGTCACATCCGGCGCCCTTCGGGTCAGTGGCGCCGACCGATAATCTACTCGTGTGGACGGCATTCCTGAACGGACCGGAAGGCACGCCATATGAGGGCGGAGTGTTTGAGTTGGAGTTACGGTTTCCCCACACATACCCCACTCGCGGACCGCAAATGACATTTAAAACACAGATATTTCACGCAAATATTCAGACGAATGGACACATATGTGTGTCATTGCTGTCCAATTGGCGGCCGACCGATACTGTGCTGACAGTCCTTCTGGCCCTCAATAACCTGTTGTGTGAACCGAATCGGAGCAGCGCTTACACCGGCGTTGGACTCACTGAACAACAGTACGAACAAACGGCCCGCGAGTGGACACGACTTTACGCCAAAAAGCGTTGATTTCTTTGAAATTGAAAACTTTTCATTTTATAATTTATATTTTAATTGTGAAAACTTTATTTCATTGATAATGATTACGATTAACGTTATAATCCATTAAAAAAAACTTTTTAATCAAAATTAAGTAAATTTTAAATATCTTATTGTATTTCTAAAGAAACAAATATTTAATAATAATCTCTATTAATATCTGAAATCATTAAATAATTGTCAAAATAATTAATTAATATTTTGATTTAGTCTGAAATGTGAAAGAAGTGATTGAATGGTGCGATACTGAGGATGAGCTCATTGTATGCGTCGGTATACTGGGATTTGGATACCTGTGCCCTCACACCTCTCACCGATATTACTGTATTTCAAGAGGCCATCCGTGCGATCATTATTACTCCCAATAATCTCATTGAAAAGCACTTTGTTTGCCGACAATCGGGTCGTAACATACGTTTATCACAACTTCCCGGTCATTATCTCTTACGTCCATTCATTGGATCTAATATTGATTTCTTTAAATCGTTCACAACTGAGACCTTAAGTGATAACAAAACAGCGTTTATAGCGATTACTGGCGATCGGCGTCTGATTGATATCATTAGACAATTAAGTTATCAAATATCGCCGCAAATAACACTCATTCACCCGAATATACCAGACATTAGATCCAACGGATTCTCGCCTAATGTCAGGTGTTATGAATTCAATGAGTTTCTGAGATTTTATAACCAATACCTCATTTACTCGTTATACGTCCGCATGAGTTCACTAAACATCACCGAAACTGATCCAATGAATGGTATGAGTTATGACATACTTTATTAAAGTTGTGTAACAATATTGAAATTTTATAAAATATGTAATGTTTGAAAATAGCAAACACTGGCATCACATCTGACAACACATCCCGTTCTCAAGAAGTATATTTAGCCCAACATTTGTTTGAATTTGTTTTGTATTAAAACTGATTTGTTTCTTATTTTTAACATACATTTGAATTGTTAGAACAATTCACTTGTTTCCACACAATCTGAAAATAGGACATCACTTCATGGCTTATGGGATCAAACAAAAAGGTTAAACACTTTACGACAATATTTTAATGAATAATTATGATTATTTCAGAGCGTATTGTAGTTTACGTCAAATGTGTTCATATATTAGACCTCAGGAGCAGATGACTGACCACCAAATAGATGGCAAAGACAATTGTAGTGTCAAACGACAGAAAGTGTCCAGAGATAATGGTATTGAATAAATTGTGATTCAATTATAAAAGTAATGTAAATATTATATTATAATTAGAAGAGTTGTCGAAAACAACACAAACTGCCATCGACTACGAGAACCCAATTGCCGGGCCATCAGGTGTTAGGGCAGACAAGTCTGAGCCAATGCCAGAACCAGTTGTTCCCAATTGTGACCAAAATATCATAACTGAAGAATCGGATGAATCGGAGAACGATGCTAAGTCTTCATTGTTTTTCACACAAAAGTTTGTCTTAATTTTATATAAAATTTACAAATATTTTATAAATTAACGTTTTTCAGGGAAACGTCTGCAAAGACTACTCAACAAAACAAGAAAAGCAAAAACAAAAAATCCAAGAAAAAGGAGAAAACAAATAATAAAGTGCCTAAAAGTAAGAGTGATTTGATTGTGTGGTTAATTGTATCGATAAATAACATGTGTTTTAATGTTAGCCCCAATTGTGAGCCCAAATGTGGACCGATATATGCGAGTGAAAGGCGTCTGTGGTCTCCGAAACCTCGGGAACACATGTTATATGAATAGCGGTCTTCAATGTCTCGTTAATATCGCACTTTTCAATGAGTTTATGACTAAAGACTTGAAGAATTTTCTGATCGTTTTGAACCAAACATCACAACAAAAATTATTGATTGAATTAATGGCTGAACTCATGGAAGAGATGTTGTCTTCGAGGTCTCAATCGGTTTCGCCGATTAATTTTCATCTAAAAGTGAGCAAACTTTTTGAAAGATTTCGTGGTTTTGGACAAAACGATTGCTCAGAATTCATGGTCACAATTCTGGATCAGTTTCACAAAGAATTGCTTCAAATGAATGAATGCAGTGAACACTCGGATGCCATTGAATACAACAATTTTGACGATTACTTGCGATTCAACGACACATTTATTTCCCATAATTTTCACGGCTTTCTCCGACTGTCCGTTGAGTGCGATTGCGGCCAAACTATTACCACAAATTGTCAACCGTTTCCTATCATTAGTTTACCACAGATTGAGTGCAAGGATTTGGTTTGGATTGAAGTGTCATTAATCAGAAACAACAGCCAAAGAGTGGAGAAAATGCGATTGAAATTTGCAAAGAGTGAGACTCTTATCAGTCAATTGCTTAAAATATTGATCAAAACGTATTACGAAATCAGCGAAAACTCTTTTCTCTACAATCAACTCATCGTTTGTCACGTTTTTGATCATAAAGTAACTGATATTTTGCATAAGAATAACGTTTTAAAGTTTAATAATATTCGCGGAGATATCTGTGTCTATGAAATTGATCCGTCGTTTACAAGACATTACTTCGTATCACTGTCTTATCGAAAGGTGCCGTTCGGCACACCATTGCTATTGAATATGAATGACAGCAGATATTCAACAATTGAGTCCACATTTGTTCAACAAATCGCTAAACATTTGCCGCACATTAAAAGTCAATTCCGCGAAGAATTGATTCAAACAAAGTTTCTCTATTATAGAGAAAAGTTTGTGAACCGGTATTGGGCTCCGGATTTACCACATTCTGTCTGCACTTTCCTGGCCTATGATATGGATAATGTGTTGAGACAATTGTGTCACGACTATTACCAAGTGGTTTATCTCAATCCTTATCAGTCAAGTGGTCCGCATTCTTCATATAGTGATGCAATGGTAAAACTGGATGACTGTATCAATCAATACCTGTCTTACGAAAAGTGTGACGAGAAATGTGCCGATTGTCGGACACGGGAGCCGACGGGCGGTCAAACTATCGGCACATTTTCAAGCCTGTCGTACGCTATACTACACGCGCCTAATGTACTGATATTGCAGCTGAAGTCAAACCCCAGCCATCGATATAACTGTCAGTTTCCTCTCGTATTGGATCTGAAGAGTTATGCAACAAATGGCCGCTCAGATGATGGACAGTATGTCTACGATTTGGTGGCCGTCTCTAACTATAGCGGATCCTCTTATAGCGGACACTATACCGCTTACGCCAAGAGTTGTCTCAACAATAATTGGTATGAATTCAACTAAAATGGTCAATAGTTAGCAATTATTATGACCAATACATTATATGAAATAAATTGTTGCTTCATATTAAAAATATAATTTTAAATTTTCATTGCCAAAATGTTATTACTTTCCCGAAGGCGTAATATTACTATGTTTAGAGAGTACGATGTGATCGTCGACATGGGGTGCGGCTCCGGGTATTTGACCCAACTATTGGCTCATAAAGTAAAATACAGGCAAATAATAGCCATAGACAGCGACCCAACACTAGTCGTGGAGGCCCAGCGCCGCTACACCACTGACACCATCCGATACCTACACCAAGACTTAGACAAACCGTGGGATGAATGGCGGCCTGAGCTCCGGGCCCTCGAATCCACCGCAAACCTGATTGTGTCAAACATTGTGTTTCAGGCCATAGAAGATAAGACTCGGCTAATGGATGTGTTGGTCCACCTGTTGGCCTCCGGGGGGCGAGTGGTGGCCCGTTTTGGACAGACACCCGATCTGAATGCGAAACTCACTGAACATCAGCGCCGAAAGTATCGCTTGTTTTTAAGACGTATTCAACGGATGAACACTACGATCACTGGTCGACAGCCGCCCACCAGAAGAGTCTGGGAGTCAAACAGTTTGCCGTTTTTGACAATTTCCGTACGATTACACGACAGCATATGATCGGTGGGTGTGTTTTATTTGTTTCCCTGGTCATATTTTAAATAACAAATATATTACAATGTAAGTTTAAATACAATTAAAGTATTTAAACGTGTTGTGTCTAAAAACTGTAATAATAATGTTGCTAAATGTTTAGTACTATAGATGTGGAAATGTTTGTCAAATTATTGGCGTTGATTATCAAGTTTTAATGAATAGTTATAATTTATATTTTTATATAACCGTGTTATATTATTTTATTTATAGTATTTATTTATATTATCTGTAATTATGTTTAGCACATAATAATCGGAATGTATAGTAATTTGCCACAAGTTTATATGTGTAAAGCATAAAAACTGTAAAACTATTTTTGTTGTTACGTTTAACTGTAGACTGAGAAACAGTATTAATATAGTTGGATAAACTAATTCTTACGTGATAATTATTGTAATGATATAGATAATTTTTGTTGATTAATTAGAATATATAATTACAAATGTAATTTAAATTATTACGATTACAATACCCTTTAACTTTATAAATTATGTAGTATATCAGATTGTTTTCACCATGATTATGTTTTCATAGCTATGAGTCCAATGCTGCCCGAAATGATAGCCTCGGTGTTCAAATTGCGCAATAAAACCGGGGTGAAATACGAGTTTGTAAAGAGCATAGTGTTTAATGTGTTGACACAACCGACAACTAAACACTTGAGCGGAAACGCGTGGACAGACTTCGTGGCCGACGACTCCATCGCAACCATTGAATTGCATTTCCAGGAAATACAGCTAATCCTCGAAAAGCAGTGATTTATATGCATTCAATTGTTTTCAAAGAATCTGAATTTTTAATAAATATCAATTTATACAAAATTATTTTCTATGAAATTAAAATTATTATTTATTTTAAAAATGTAATGATCATAAAATTATAATTTTATTATATTCTAGATTAAAAATATTTATTCGTGATATTTATTTAAAAAATATAAAACATTTAATATTATATTTATATTAAACAATTTTGTGAGTGATATTTATCACCATATATTATTAATTGTTATTTATAAAAATAAAGATTATATTTTCTAATTTTTATATGAAATACTATATTATCAATTTTAATATTAAATTAAAATAAATTTTGCTAAAACAACAGTTTATAAAATAATTTTAAATTAATTATTATTTATTTATAATTCTTAAATAATTAGGATTGTATTTGCATCTGGTTTGTCAAAAAATTATATCTTGTTGTGGTTGAAAACTTTTTAACTCGTTTATTTGTAAAATTAAATACAATGTGTACAATAACTGATTTATATAATATTTTAAAATAAAATTTTCAAACTTAAAACTGTAAAACTTATGTTTTTAATATTTAATGTTATATCTAATAAATCAATATAAATTACTTTATATAATAATAGACTCTCTGTAAATATTTTGCTAGCTGCAATAAATATTTTGACATTTTAAATTTCTATTATATCACATTCTTAACTTGATTATTCCTAATTTTGTAATAATTATATGACTTAAATTTATTTTTAAAATAAATCAATCCATAACATTTTATAAATTTAATAACATCTAAAAACAATAAATTTAATAACGTTTTGAGATGTGATCTAACAATTATAATTATGTAGATTTATTTAATTAAGATATAAAATTTTGATTTAATTAAGTCTGCAGTTATTCAAGGTATTCTCCAAATAGTCCATTATTATATCCATAAATCATCAGATATAATACAAAACAGTTAAAAAATATACGTTTTACAGTTTTTTAAAATTATATATAAATAAACTTTGCATAAGTTGTGTACAGTATTATTTTGACATTGAAGTTAATTTTACAAATAAAGTTAATATACGAGTAAAACTGTTTTTAAACATTATAAGATGATTAAATTTATTATCTAATTTAGATGCAGCAACTATCATAATTATCTAAAAATTATCATGTTGAATTATAAATAAATAACATTTAATTTTATAAATAACATTTAATTTTATAAATAATCTTGAATGTTATGAATAAGGAAAATTAAAGCACGGATTAAAATTCAATTAATAAAGTCTTATAGTTAAAGACTGTAACAATAATGTCGCTGAATGTTAAGTACTATAGATGGGGAAATATTTGTTAAATTATTGGTTGACATTATACGGGTGTTAATTAATACTATTTATTCCATTTATATTTTTCAACATTAATTATGAATTATTATTACTTGTAATAATTTTTAACACACAATTACCACAATGCAGGAGTAATTTGACACTAGTTTATAAGTGTAAAGCATATAAACTGTAACACTATTTTTGTTGTTACGTTCAACTATACACTGTGAACCATGTTTAATATTTTTGGAGGTTTAGCATGATAATTATTGTAATGTCATAAATAATTTTTATTGATTAATTTGCATACATGTATATATTGTGGCAACTTGAGTTGTAATTATTGAGATTATAATACCCCCTTAATATAATAATGTAGTATATCAGGTTGTTTTCACCATGATTATTTTTTCCCTACACAACTCCCTTCCAATGCTGCCCAAAATGATAGCCTCGGTGTTCAAATTGCGCAATAAAACAAAAATATTTACACGTGTTATGCGTATAAACTGTAACATTAATATCGCTGAATATTTAGTGTTATAAATGTGGATATTTTTTGTTTTATTATTGGACAGAAATTAATGCTTTACATTTATATAAGATTTTATATTATATTTACACTAGATTATGTTAATTATACAGGTACTATTAATTGATATTTTAAAAAATTAATTTAAATACAGATTGCACTATTTAAATTAAAATAAGTATAAAATATAATAAATACTTTTGTGTAAGAAATTAGTAGTTTAATACATAATTCATGACCACTTCAACAAAAAATATAATTGTAATTAACCCAAACATTTTTGTGCATAAAACAAATATGTCCTTGATAAAATACAATTCTATATCCAAATGGTTATTGTCCGCAATTTTCTCGCCATTTATATGATTACTGAAAACATTATGAAATTCCCCGGAATTTATGCCAATCTTTTCTAATTCTCGAATTCCCCACAAAATCACATCGAATTCGGATCGATGTTTGCAATTCATGTTAATTCCCGACTCAATCATCGCTTCAATGCTAATCCAATGGGGAAATCAATGCATAAAATGGTCTAAAAATTGTTTATTTAAAACTTACATTTTGTACAACCTATGTCTTTTACGGCTGTGTTTATAATGTAAACAATTTTCCCGTTTTGTGCATTTATTTATCGGAAACCCCAGAAATGTGTGGAAATACTTGTACTCTGAGATCTCAAGGTTTAGCTCGAGGTTTGTTAACTTGTTCATTAATACCATCCAACCCTCTCCCATGTATACACTTTGCCTATTTTCCACTGATTTTAATATTATCTAGTAACAAAATAATTAGTAATATTAGTAAAATTATCTAACCTAAACAATTCATGAATTACCTTATGGTTGAGGGTAAATTCATCATGATTAATAAATTTAACTCTACCTGCATTGTGTAATTGATCAAGATTTTGATCAATGGCTAAATTATAGCTCAACTTTTTATCAAAAACACACCATAAGTAGGAACCGTTGAGTATAATAGCGTTTGCATTTGATTCAACTAGATCATCTATTGATTTTACATACATCCACTTCCGGGTCACTATTGCTGACAATATATCGGCACAGAAATGGTATATCAATATCATTGCCACAAATGCCCATAAATTTATCATTAGGTTTGGTCGCATGTATTGATTATTGAGTGTTTGGTTTACTAAATGCCTGAATACGTCAAATAATACACGGCTGCATTCAGTGCTAACGATGTCACCTAGGTTTTTTAAATTATAAAATACAGTATATTTAAATTATACAATATAGAATATCTAGATAAACAATTAAATTTAATTTATTAAACTTTACAATTACCAAATACTTTTGCCGATCTATACTGGTAAACAGTTATTAGCAAAACACACATTAATATAAGGGACCAGATTAGGCTCGAGTAAGCATGGATCATGGTAAATATATCGGAGTTTTGCACGTATTTACCACTTAAAATGACCATGTTATATTCGTCCCTGACCCAGTGGGAATTTGCGTAAGTAAACAGATTTTCATCGATAGACATCGTATATAAAGCCATGTCAATCTTCTAGGTGAAGTATAACCAATCGAAATGAAAATTGATAATTTTAAAAATTAGATTTTCTAAACTAAATTAAACGGGATTTTCAAAATTGTTGTTTTAATTTGAAATACTGTTTATTGGTCTACAAAACCGTGCCATTCATTTGTTTGCATGTCTTGTCGTTCG